CCCCCCCCCCCCCCCCAGATATTACAAGGCAAAACTGGGAACTGAACCAGATCTGACTTACCCCTGAGCCTTTGCTCTTACTCATTGTGCCTTATGCAGTATTTATGATTACTATTTGCTTTATAGAATTAAGTATTATCATTTTAAATATAAAAATCATACTCCAGCTATTTTAGATGTGTCTCTTTACCTCCTAATATCACTCTTTATCTGTCAAATGGAGCTGAAAAATAAAAGTCTTTTCAACTCTGAAAAAAATTTTACTTTTAAAATTTCACAAAGAGAACTTACCTTTATAAATTTGTTCTAAATTAACTGTTCTTGAAAAAATGTTATTGAAAGGATTAAGCTTTAAATATTTTTTAAGCCCTGCCTTCCCCCCAAAATAACCCCACCAGGTTCGACATGGATTTGAGAACTAACTTTTTCAGGAGTTATGCCATTCGAATGATTTTGGTATGGAATTCTCCCAGCTCTGGAGGTTAAATTATTACCATTAATTAACACTGCTTGACTATATACTATAGTGCTAAACTTACAGGTGTGTAGTTGCTTACTGTAAATTTAACAAACTTATGACGGTTTATTATGACAGATAAGGCCCAATGGGATCAAGCCTACCTGCAGCCTTACTTCCTATCACTCTTTTACTGCTCATTGCTCTAGCTCAGTGGTCGGCTAACTCATTAGTCAACAGAGCTAAATATCAACAGTACAACGATAGAAATTTCTTTTGAGAGCCAAATTTTTTAAATTTAAACTGTATAGGTAGGTACACTGTTATTAAGTTAATTAGGGTACTCCTAAGCTGGACTTTGCTAAAAACGTCCTCAATCTGACTGAGGTACATTCGCTGAGGTCGACCCCTTCCAACTCTCCCATCCACACTCGTCTTGTATACTTGTTTCGCCTACCTCCTTTCCGAAAACCGACTTCTGTGCATGGGCCACGAAGTTTCAATCGCACTGTACGTACGCACTCCACGTGGTATTTTGTGGAAGAGCCACACTCAAGGGGCCAAAGAGCCGCATGTGGCTTGCGAGCCACGGTTTGGCGACCACTGCTCTAGCTACATAGCCTCTGAGCTGTTTCTTGAATGTGCCACGCTGGTTCCCATTTCAGGCATTTTGGCTTTTGCATGGCTTCCTCCATTGTATCATTTGATTTCTCCTCAAAGAGGCCTGACTCTCCAGACTGCCTTATCTTAAAGAGCAACCCCACTCTCCCCACAGCTTTATTCTCCTTATAGAAGCTGTCACTGCTCAAAGTTACTTATTTGATGATTATTCTGTTTTCTCTTACTAGCACATAAACTCTGAAGGTCAGGGACCTTTTTTTTTTAAAAAAATCATTCACCTTCTGTTTTCAAAAAACATTGTTGCGTACCCAAATTATTTGCTGAATGAATAAATAAAATGAATGAACGAACATTTATATTATATATTGATTTTTAAAATCCACATGTATTTTAGTTAAATCATGAATTAAATACTTGCTAGATTTTATCATTCTTTTGCTTTTTCTGTCCTGGAGGTATAAATATTAAAATAAATCAGGAGAAACCAAGATGGCGGCATAGGTAAACACCTGAAATTGCTGC